TGCACCATTCCATCTATGAGCTGCTCTTTCAGAGTGCCACGAGAGCCCCTTAGAACGGTATCCTAAAATCCATGTTATGGTAAGTGAAGGCTTTGAGGCTTTGAGCACTTTCTGAAATCCACATTGTGGTAAGTTCGCACGCTAGTTCTTTGCGTTCTTTTCTAAATGGTGAGGGCCCACTCCACTTAGGTATCCTAGGATACCTACTTTAACAGGGTGTGGCCACTAGAGGTCTGTTGAGACAGTTCCTTTCAGAGCTTATGCAAGAGCAAGCGGTAGCCCCTGTGTGACAGGCCAAGACTTAGTGTGATACTAGGTTCTGAGTTGTATCCTCTTAAAGGAATCCTTTATGATCCAAGCCTTGAGCTCTACCCCGGGCCCAGGAGTCTGGTCCTAACAGGTAAGTTGGGTATGTAGCCTAGGCCTTTGGCCATAGGGGATAAAGTCACAGACAGCCGTCTGACGTCCCAGGGGCAACTCACCATGAAAATGGTAAAGTTGGTACTTAGTGCTCGCCATGGTTCTGGCCCCCACTCCCCTCAGCATGGCGGCGTGGGTATACCTTTCCCCACAGCAACCCCTAGAGGACACAGTTCGAAGTTCCCTTGAAAGGGAACGTCTCAGGTTACTTATGTAACTATGGTTCCCTGAGTAGGGAACGAGACACTGCGTCCTCTAGGCTTCCTGCCATGCTTCGAACACAAGCTTCAGACGAAGAAGTGAATGACATGTTCTCTCGGCGCCTATTTTTACTATAGTCACACCGGTAGTGACGTCATGGGCTGTCGGCGGCCAACGTGTTGTTGGTGTTTTTTCAATGTATGCTTCAGACACGGGTCACGACGAGGCATCCCCATAGCGACCCCTAGAGGACACAGTGTCTCGTTCCCTACTCAGGGAACAATGGTTACATAAGTAACCTGAGACGTTTTGCTGTATAGGCCTATAGATATAAATATTAAAATTACAAACACACAATAACATTTTAAGTTACTTCCATTTCTAAAAAAAAGAATGTAGGCCTATAATTGATGTTGTAAATACACATGCCTGATTTTTGTTTTAATTATCCATCGTAGCCTACATTAACAAAAAACAAAAAACATTTGCAATCACGACTGAAAAAAGCCAAAAGTGAATGTAAACCAGATTTGGCCCAGACTCTGTTGCTATTTGTGAAGCCAAGCATAAGAATAGCCTACTAATGTAAATTTGTTAACCCACAGTAACAAATTTTTACATTAATCGCATATTTTCGTTTGCTGCATGCTTTTAAAAACACAATAAAAAAAATTTTTTTTGAGGAAAATAAAAAATATATAAATCTCGTATAAGTTGCATTTTCAGAAATAATAATGGCAGGCCTAATAATGTTATAATGTACCAACATTATGAACACTATAGGATATTTTAGTTCCCCTCACTTTACAACAAATCCTTTAAATTTAACCGTATCAGAACAGAATAAGAATTTAAAAATATATAATTCTAATGGATAAATATAATTGCCGTATATAATAATATATGCTTAGCAATAAACATGCCAAAACAAATTAATTTATAAAGAAACATAAGGTAAAGTTGGGCATACCTCTCTCAGGCACAAATCCAAATGTGTCCATATTCGCAATGTAGCTGAAGCTAAACTATTAGCCTTATTAGGTAAAATAGGCTTTGTAGTTCACGCGCGTTCCAATATCGACGGAAAAATATCATAATGAGCAAAAATATACCACAGTGGACCGGGTCTCACGCCGAACGGCACGGTGAACGGCTGCACTGTTTCCAATGAATGCAGTAGCTTAGTGTGCCCGTGAGGCGCTGGCGCGATCAAACAGCTGAAACATAAAATAGACCAGTGTTTCCCAACTGGGGTGCTGTCTGTCGAGAGCAGGGGTGCCGTGTAAAAAATCATTTTTTAATATTTTTAAATTGCTAAAATGTTCAAAAAAGCATCTATTATATAATATCCATTTCTGATGTCAACAATAATTAGAGATGCATCGAAATTTCGGCTGCCGAAAATGAGTTCACCGCTCAGGTTTCACTTTCACGTGGTGTGACGCTCTGCGTATTATCCCGCTCTATGTGTGTGCGCTCCGCTCAGTCGCTCCACTCGTATACCGTTCATGCTCATCGGAACAGCAAAGTCCACTCAAAAATTGAGCCGACAGGAAACATGGATGTAGTACAGTATTGTTTCTGTCTGCAATAGCCCTACTGTGTTGTAACATGGTGTGGTATATGGGCAACTCTGGTAACGCTGCCCTCTCATTCATTGATCTGCCAACCGCTATGTTATGCTCACGTGTTCTGATAATAATAGCTTTCTAGGACTAAACATTATTAGGATAATTAGTAAAAAAAAATTAAATAAATGTTAAATATCTTAACCCTACTGTTAGACCTACCTGAAAAACTAAAAAGCAATTTATTTAATTCGAAGGCCTGTCGTTATTTTTTATTTGTGCTATCATTATTAATTTCTTTATTTGTTCTTAATTTATTACTGACTGCTTACTTGTCATTTTTTATTCAATTCAAAGTTTGAAATCAAGCTATCTCGTGCTACTGCACCAAAATTACCCCACTGTAAAATAAAAAAAACACTGAGTGAGCAAAAATTTGTGAGGTGGCTAGTTATAATGGTAATTAAAAAACGTTTACATATGTGTAAAAGCCTACATTAAAATCTGTCATATAAATTGGTCTCTTTATTAGAAATTAGCCTACTGATTGCCACCATTGATGGACAATTTTTTAAAATAATATTAAAAATATCTGTATGACATATTCTGCAGTTCTTCCCTGTTGTACTGAATATCTATACTTTTCAAATTATCATATCGAAGTTAGAAATTCAAATTTGTGACAAAATACATTTTGTAGGGTGCCACAAGTTTGTTAAAATTTCCAAAGGGTGCCACGACTAAAAAAAGGTTGGGAAACACTGAAATAGACTACTGTATGGTCATACAGTAAAGGCATAATTCGAAACTGCCAAGTGCAAAGTGTTAGCAGTTTGAAAATTCAAGAATAATAGCAAAGTTAATAAGAATTCTTTCTAAATGCAGCACGGTTCTTATTTCGCTCTGCATAACCTGAACGGAAAAAAAATAATTTTTTTTGCTAAGAACGAACCGCAATGAAAACATTTAGCTTTTAATCTGTGTATTTAACAGCCTGGGACACCTTCCCAGGGCAGTACCTTGCCTCACCGACTAAAATCAGGGCGCCCACTACGGAGACGGCACCAGAGGTGAGGGAGGTAGCCGGGCCGGGCCTGTTTTATTTTATTTTATTCTATTTTAGTGAAAACTATTAGAAGTGTTTTAAAAACTATAAATAAAATATAATGTGCACCCCTTTATATTTATGAATATTATTATTGTTATTTAAAAGAAGACAAGTCAATAGCTGTACTTTTGCATCTGGTTTACTTTTTTTTGTAAATGTAAAGATTTAGAGGTTAGAGAACTACATGACAATTTTGTCACTGTCCCCGGAGGAACTATGTCATTTGCGTCTCAGGCCATTGTCTTCATAATTTGTCAGATATAAACAGACACATCACCAGCACATCTCATTGTAAAGGGACAGAATGTGCTTTGACAGTAGCCTGTGAAAGAAGTGTGGCAGGTTTGCTTCTCTTTATCCATACAACTTTTTTTAAACTATAAAATTATTGCTATTATTATACTTATAGTCTATTATTATAATATTAAATGGAATATTTTCTACATACAGAAAAAAGACCCATATTGAGGGACTGATATTCATCATGTCAGTGGGAAACGTCAGCTTTATAAAGGATTTTGTGATAGTTGGCTTTCCTGGACTCCAGCCTCATTACTATGGACTTGTTTCAGCACTTCTATTTTTTGTTTATGTGTTTACATTGGTGGGAAATGCTTTATTTTTTATGTTGTTTGTAACGACTAAGAGCCTTCAGAAACCTGTTTATTATTGCATTATAAATCTAGTCGTGGGTGATGTACTATTCAGCACCACAACATTATCGAAAATAATCAGCAGGTACTGGTTTCAAGATGGAACCATTTCATTCTTGGGTTGTTTTGTGCAGATGTTTTTTGTGCATTATTTTGGCAGTGTATGTTCAATTATTCTGGCAGTAATTGCTATAGACCGCTATGCAGCAATTTGTTACCCGCTTCAATATCATAGCATCATGACAAACCAAAATGTACTCATTCTGTTCTTTGGCTCTTGGATTTTGGGTTTGGTAGGCCCCATGGCAATGGTCATTCGAGCTTATCCTCTCCCTTACTGTGCAGAAAACACAATTATACACTGTTACTGTGATCATGTTTCAATCACAACACTGGCATGCATAGACAGATCACTATATAGTATTCCAGCTCTCATATATGCCTTTGCAATACTGTTGGTGCCCTTTGCTGTTATTATATTCTCTTACTGCTCTATCTTTCTAGCAGTTATGCAGATTTCAGGTAATCAAGGAAAGATGAAGACTTTCTCCACCTGCAGTCCTCAGCTCATCATAATTGCTCTCTTTTTCCTACCCAGGTTATTTAATTATTTGTTTGGCAACATTGGTATAAAGTTCAGCACTGATTTACGATTAGTAATTATTATGATGTATAGCGTGTTGCCACCCATGATCAACCCCCTTATTTATTGTCTGAGAACAGAAGAGGTCAAAAAGTTACTAAGTAGACAATTTCAAAAGAAACAAATTAGTATTCCTTTACGGTCGATCTGATGTGCTTTATTTAATGAGGTGGCCAAACTGTTGCCATTGTAATAAGGTCCTCAACACTAGATATCTCTATATTACAAAACATGCACCATATTCCAGTAAGAGTTAATGGACTAGACTGAATGCCAAGAACACTAATATGTCTTTTTTTTAAGGGCTCCTGAAAATTGATTTTATTTTCATGAAATTAAGAATTATTTTTTGCACCTTCTGCTATAACATTACTTACATTGCTAATATTATATTATAGACAATATGGTAGTTTTGTCTGAACACCCAATTTTTGCTACAAATGGAACACAAATTATTTTATCTTAGTTTCTGTTAATGTTGCAGAGAAAACTGGCTTCTGTTGTTGAACATGTTGTAATTGTTGATTATATTCTTTGTTATAGTTTAGGAAATTCTGTGTACACGACAAACTTTAGCGCAGCACATCAGAAAACTCTATGTAAATAAACCAGAAAACTGTAACGAGTAAGAATGCCAGCATTTTCTTGTGCACTGGAAAAGTTTTTCATTTGCACATAAGAGTATTTTAAGTGTTTTATTTTCTTTTTTCAGTGAATGTCACTTTAAAGACTCTATACTTTCATTCATTACATGATAAAGCACTGTCACCATTATACTGATGGATAAAATTGGCTGCCCCATGCTACTCGATGCAACTCTCACACATAGCCGTCTAATTAAAATGTTTTTAAATAACAGGGGTGCTTGCCAACTGTGTTAATAAAAAGGTTCAAAACCTTTCTCTTGCAACAACCTGAATCATTTGTGTGTTCCTTCTAACTGTACAATGCTGCTCAGTATTGTCAGAAAATATGTATTTTGAAAACATAGGGAAGTAAAAAAGATTTTAAGTCAATTTCAGAAGAGGAAAATTGCCATGTCTTTACATTTGCTCTGATCTGTTATATTTAATAAGTTAGACCACAATGTTGCAGAAAAAGTGGCTTATGCTGAACATAGTTATATAATATTTATACACTGTAAGTTAACATTTGCAGGGAAAAAAAGATAATTTTTTTTCTGAATACTGATTAAAAAGTTCTGAATGCGCACCAGACAACTACATATAATTTTTTTTGTATGCATGTCAAAGTCTCACCTTGTTTCTCTGCAAATCCAACTTTAGGAACTCTGTACTTATAGTATATACTTTATTCAATAATACTTCCAAAGTCACCATTTGACTGATAGATAAAATTGGGATTCACTGTTCTTCTCAATGCAGCTCCCACACTTAGGCAGGAAATAATAACATCAACAGCAAAAGCAGGACAGAGTATTTTTCACATTGTTATTCAATACACCACACATCTGCTGCAATATGCACCAGAATCTAATTATCTAATTTAAATTGATTTTATTTTCATGAAATTAAGAATTATTTTTTGCACCTTCTGCTATAACATTACTTACAGTGCTAATATTATATTATAGACAATATGGTAGTTTTATTATGATAATTTATGCAATAGGTAGGCCTAAAATGACTTTTTCCACTCTGCTGCTCAAATATACTTTAAATAATCGTATACATCATATAAATGCATATAAATTCATTATGTAATGTTATACAAATATAAAGATAAAAAATGTGAATCATATGCCATATCGTTATGGTTCAGGATGAGCTCTCTGAGCTGTTCTAATTTTGTCTGAACACCCAATTTTTTGCTACAAATGAAACACAAATTATTTTATCTTACTTTCTGTTAATGTTGCAGAGAAAACTGGCTTCTGTTGTTGAACATGTTGTAATTGTTGATTATATTCTTTGTTATAGTTTAGGAAATTCTATGTGTGCACGACAAACTTTAGCGCAGCACATCAGAAAACTCTATGTAAATAAACCAGAAAACTGTAACGAGTAAGAATGCCAGCATTTTCTTGTGCACTGGAAAAGTTTTTCATTTGCACATAAGAGTATTTTAAGTTTTTTCTTTTCTTTTTTCAGTGAATGTCACTTTAAAGACTCTATACTTTCATTCATTACATGATAAAACCATTATACCATTATACTGATGGATAAAATTGGCTGCCCCATGCTACTCGATGCAACTCTCACACATAGCCGTCTAATTTTTAAATAACTAAATAACAAGGGTGCTTGCCAACTGTGTTAATAAAAAGGTTCAAAACCTCTTGCAACAACCTGAATCATTTGTGTGTTCCTTCTAACTGTACAATGCTGCTCAGTATTGTCAGAAAATATGTATTTTGAAAACATAGGGAAGTAAAAAAGATTTTAAGTCAATTTCAGAAGAGGAAAATTGCCATGTCTTTACATTTGCTCTGATCTGTTATATTTAATAAGTTAGACCACAATGTTGCAGAAAAAGTGGCTTATGCTGAACATAGTTATATAATATTTATACACTGTAAGTTAACATTTGCAGGGAAAAAAAGAGAATTTTTTTTCTGAATACTGATTAAAAAGTTCTGAATGCGCACCAGACAACTACATATAATTTTTTTTGTATGCATGTCAAAGTCTCACCTTGTTTCTCTGCAAATCCAACTTTAGGAACTCTGTACTTATAGTATATACTTTATTCAATAATACTTCCAAAGTCACCATTTGACTGATAGATAAAATTGGGATTTACTGTTCTTCTCAATGCAGCTCCCACACTTAGGCAGGAAATAATAACATCAACAGCAAAAGCAGGACAGAGTATTTTTCACATTGTTATTCAATACACCACACATCTGCTGCAATATGCACCAGAATCTAATTATCTAATTTTATCTGAAATAAAATAAATCTAGCATTAAATGTAGTTCCTGCATAAAAGATGTAGTCCCGCCTCAGAGGTCTCAACCTTTTTCCAAAAATTTAAATAAAGTCATTATTTTTATGTAATATATTGAATTGTATGTATACTGTTATTTTTGTAGCTGCAGAGCACAAGCTGTATGGCTTTCATGGTTACTTTATGGAGTGTTTGGTTCTTTTTTTTTTTTAGAGCTTGAAAGCTTATGAACTATTATTATGGAAAAGAGTTAGGTGAACTATATTCAAGAATTTTTTTTGTACTCCATGTTAAAAATTATATCATAGGTTTGGATTGCCATGAGGGTGAATAAATGATGAAAGAATTATAATTTGGGTGAACCATTTCTTTAAGAGGTGTAGCCTATTTGACGTCCTCATTCACATTAACAGTTACTGCTGGATTTGCTATTGTAATGCTCATCAAACTCTCAGGGTCAGTTGGTAAAAAACTATAGCAGGAAAATCAGGAAGGGCATCAAATCATCTAATTTTTTTTAAATTTTTGATTAAGAATGACATTTTAGAGATTAGGAACTTGGTAATTCTGTCACTGTCCCTGAAAGAACTGCGTCATCTGTGTAACAGGCCATGTCAGTGGGAAACATTAGTTCTGTGAAGGATTTTGTGGATTTCAGTCTCATTACTATGGCCTCGTATCAGCCATTCTGTTTCTTGTTTATGTGTTTACATTGATTCAGCATTTGTAATGACTAAGAGCCTTCAGAGGCCCGTATATTATTTCATTATAAATCTAGTTGTGTGTGATGTACTATTCAGCACCGCAACATTACCGAAGATAATCAGCAGGTACTGGTTTCAAGATGAAACCATTTCATTCTTGGGTTGTTGTGTTCAGATGTTCTTTGTGCATTATTTATGTGGTGTTTGTTCAAATGTTCTGGTAGTAATGGTTATGGATCGCTACGCAGCAATTTGTTATCCACTTCAATATCACAGTATCATGACAAACTGTATTCATTTTGATCCTTGGCTCTTGGATTTTGAGTTTGGCAGGACCCTTAATGATAGTCATTCGAGCTTATCCTCTCCCTTACTGTGCAGAAAACACCATTATACACTGTTACTGTGATCATGTCTCCGTTACAACCCTGACATGCACAGACAGATCACTGTATAGTATTCCAGCCCTTATTTATGCCCTTGTAGTACTAGTAGGTTCCTTTGCTGTTATTATATTTTCTTACTGCTCCATCTTTGTGGCAGTTATGCGAATTTCAAGCACTCAAGGAAGGATGAAGACTTTCTCCACCTGCAGTCCTCAGCTCATCATAATTGCTCTCTATTTTCTACCCAGGTGTCTTATTAATTGTTTGGCAACATTGGGGTAAAGTACAGTACAGATTTGCGATTACTCATTGTCATGATGTATAACCTACTACCACCTATGATTTATTGTTTGAGAACAGAAGAGGTAAAAAAGATTTTAAAAAGACCATTTCAAAAGAAACAAATTGCATTCATTTACAGTTGCTATAACATGCTTTATGAATTGAGTTGGACAAACTGTAGTCAAGCTCTAGATTATATCCCAGTATTTATAAACAAGAAACAGATTCCAGTAAGTGTTGAAAATGGATTTGACAGTTCTAATCAGTCTGGGTACGCGTATCATATTAATTATGTCAACCCAATGATTCACATTGACAGAAAAAAAAGATAAGAATAATATAGTCCATGTACATTGTAGTTGCCTTTTTCTATTGCGCTCTACTTTATTTCCCAGTTAATTGTTTGTCCTAAATGTTAGTTTCGAGGTTATGGATTTTATGCAGTACTGTTGTTCTTATGTTTCAGTCGATTCTTTTCAAAATTTTCCTTCTTCATATTGACTCATATTATAGTTGCAAAAATTCTAACATAAGGCCAAACTGTGTATTTGTCAGATTTTGTTCCATGTCTCTTGTTGTGGTTTCCTCCCCCATGTGCTCCAGGTTAATGTTTATGCCCATATTTGTTTTTTCTTGTTCCTATTCCCATTTAGTTCTGTTGATCCCAGGTGTGTTCCATTAGTTTCTGTTCATATAAAGTGTGTTTTGCCCCTTGTTTCCTGTCCGCTGTCGAATGTCATTTTGTGTCCTCAGTGTATCCCGTGTCTCTGTATTCCTAGCTTTTGTTTATTATTAAATCTTTGAAATGTACTTTATTCCTCATCTCCGCGTTCGTTCCTGTGCTCCCAGTGTGTGTGTCGTGACAGTAT